ACAAATCATATTGGCACACCATATATCTATGGAGAAAAAGGATTGGAATTCATGACAGGGATCGCACCATTGCATCTACCTTTTTTTTCTCCCGTCGTTTGTTCACCAATGCCAACTGTTCAGCTGGAGTTGGAAGTCTACCTCCGGCCTTTTGAAGTGCAACCTGTTGAACATGTGATATGGTGACCTTGAAGCTATTCGACGCAAAGTCCTCGAAGCGCTCAGTATGCACATGGGACTTCTTATCTTTCAACTTGGTGTCCTGATAGAGGCAAGGCTGATAGTCCATGGTAGGGTTAACACTAACAGCATCCTCGATAATATTTTCCATGAAAGGAGATGGCAGTCCATTGGTTCAAAGAGATTGACACCAAGATAGTAATTCAAAATCCCAGGGATGTTGGGGTCAGCCCGTGTGTGGTCTGATGATTATTCCATGCGTCTTCCCGCTAGGGGGCACCATCCTACTTGCCAGGCCTTCTCCTCATCAATGGGCTTGGATGAAGAGGCAGAAGGGCCAGACGTTTCTGGCGGCAGGGCTGCAGTGCCTGGGGCCATGTGGAATGCTGCTGGAAGTGTTCACCTAGGTAGCCATCCTAACACATCATAACATAGGACATTGCGTATTCTAATCATAACTAATAGGCCATACAAAATGATAAAGATGGAATGACATTTCATTACGTATATTTTCCCCACAAAAATCCATTTCATTGTTCTGACAAGGGACATCGGGACTTCGAACGAAGCCTCCTCAAGGGGGGCGTTGGTACTGGAGCAACAGTAGGAGGGTCATCAGCCTTCTTGGTCTCACCTTTCACCTTTGTCTTTTTTCCGGCTTCTTGGGAACTTCACTTTCAGGTTCTTTTCTTTTCTTTTTAGGAGGGTCATCAGCCTTCTTGGTCTCACCTTTCACCTTTGCCTTTTTTGCCGGCTTCTTGGGAACTTCACTTTCAGGTTCTTTTCTTTTCTTTGATTCCTTCGCGGCTTGCTTGGCTAGATTTGCTCCAGTCATCTGCGCCAGCACTTTGCACAACCAATCAGTCTTTGGGTCCAATTTTGGAGCATCTTCCTTGTCCCAAATTTGAACAAAAGCCTCTTGAACTCCGAGGCTTGGCATGAATCCAAAACAATATTCCCAGTACCTCTTCAAACCTGCAGCATCAATTTCTGCCTTCGCGCCCGCCCGTGCAGCGGCCTGCTTCGGCTCTTCCAGGGCAGCATCCTCTTCAAGGCTACCACTGGATGAACTGGATGAACTGGATGATGAGCTGGTGCCACTGCTCGAGCTGTCACTGTCGCTGTCACTACTGCTCTCTTTCTCATCATCCATTTTTCTTCCCCCTTCTTCCTCCCCACCTTTCTCTTCATTTTTCTCTTCTGCGCCTGTCTCCTCACTCACCTTCTTCTTGTCCGATCCTTCTTTATCTTTGTTCGGGGGGCTTGCCTCCTCACCTTCCTTCTCCTCCTCAGACTCTTCACTGGTCGACTCATTCGGCTCATCATTGTTCTTCTCATCCTTTGCTGCAGCCTGCTCTCTGGATTCTGCCACGTCTTTCTCATCCTCCTCATGATCCTCTGCTGCCTTTTCTTCCTCTTCTTCTGAGCTGCTTTCCTCACTTTCTGTTTCATTTTGTGCTGGCTTCGCTTTGTCAGGGAAATCTTCCTTCTTGCAGTCTCCTTGGTCTGTCATCTTCTCGCATTCTTGATCCTCTGCCTCTTCCATCTCCTTATCTGCCGTCTCTTCTGTCTCCTCTTCCTCACTTGACTCCTCATCCTTTTCTTTTTGGACATCTTCCTTCTTGCAGTCTCCTTGGTCTGTCTTCTTCTCGCATTCCTGATTTTCTGCCTCTTCCATCTCCTCACCTGCCTTCTCTTCTGCCTCCTCTTCCTCACTTGAAACCTCATCCTTTTCTTTTTGCTCCTCTTCTCCTTCACTATCCTCAGTGCTTTCCTCATCATCTCTTTCCTCCACATCATCATTTTTCTCTTCTGCGCCTGTCTCCTCACTCACCTTCTTCTTGTCCGATCCTTCTTACTTTATCTTTGTTCGGGGGGCTTGCCTCCTCACCTTCCTTCTCCTCCTCAGACTCTTCACTGGTCGACTCATTCGGCTCATCATTGTTCTTCTCATCCTTTGCTGCAGCCTGCTCTCTGGATTCTGCCACGTCTTTCTCATCCTCCTCATGATCCTCTGCTGCCTTTTCTTCCTCTTCTTCTGAGCTGCTTTCCTCACTTTCTGTTTCATTTTGTGCTGGCTTCGCTTCGTCAGCGAAATCTTCCTTCTTGCAGTCTCCTTGGTCTGTCTTCTTCTCGCATTCTTCATCTTCTGCCTCTTCCATCTCGTTACCGTCCTCTTCCTCACTTGACTCCTCATCCTTTTCTTCTTTGTCTTCTCCTCTTTTAGCATCAACTGTCTCAGTCTTGTCATCGGTCTCTTCGCTTCCTGATGAATCATCAGAGTCATTTGTGTCATCTTGCTTTTCTTCTTCTTCCGTCTTCCCCTTTGGCTCGTCTTTTTCCTGGGCATGGGTTGTCCTACCCCCGTATCCAATCGGCCATTTCTTTTGCCTATTTCTTTTCGTGATTGCATTACCCCCTTCTACACTCCAACCATGGTTCCCCCCCTGCTGCTCACCTTCTTAGTTGTTGGTTCTGCTTTGCTTTGCTCCTTTTCTTCCACCTCCTGGCCCAGCTCACTGTAGGGTACGGTCGTAACCACTATATGCACAGTTTCACGGGTGACTGGGGTCAACTGAACACTCATATGGTTCCGATTTGATGATTAAATATGCCCATGTCTCACCTCATCATCTGTAGCGTTCTCCGACTCACTGGTCTCTTCATCCTCGCAAAGGGGGGTAGCATCCTGGAGCTTTGGCTCTTGGACACCGCACTGATTCCTGAAGCGGCGGGTATGCTTAAACGATGTGTGGTATCTATCTCATAGCTATAGCCCAGAATGTTGGTCTAAGTTTGGTGGAAAACATATGAGTGGACAAAGTTCTGCACCACCATGGGAACAACATAAATTACCATTATATTTACGGAGTGGTGCAGGATTCTGTCCATATTTTTTTAAAATGAAAGACATCAGACTAGCAGTTGCCAATCAGTGACAATTCCTCTGCAGATAGCTGTGGGATATCCTCATCCATGATTTGCGTCTCCAGCTGATCCATTGAAGACCTGTGACAATGGAATTTTCAGGGATTGATGGCTAGTGGAACCCCCAGAGCCTACATTGACAAAAAAATCATACTTTGTCTAATCAAGGAACCCCTTGGACTTGGACCGGGAAGACGGAGACTCATACAAGTGGCCCCTGCGCTTTGACTGCGTATGCTTCAAGAGAACATCATGCACTTTGTATGCCTCAGTATGAATCAGCAAAATTGAAACTATGGATTTGGGGTATTTTCACTTTTGGACAAACAAGCCCCCTTAAAAAAGATAGCACCATTGGGCCTGCCCAAAGTGACATCTAAAAGGCTAAAATGTGCCAACTTAGTGTTGATGGTACTTGTTCACGGACCCACTCTTCTCGAGCTTCATCACTCATATGCTTTCCTGAGGCGTTTGAAGGCAAAGGGCCCATAGATTTGTCAATATAAATTCAAATGGGAATTAATCATCCCCAAACCCCAATAGTATGTGCCAGCGCAACCTCAGAGATAACCATGAGCCGCCTGTTTGTCAGGGTGATCAGGGGTACGGTCCTTCAAAGATTTCTAAGTTCAGTCCCAAGATCCAAGTTTTTTTTGTTGACATGTCTCATAAGAGCTGCGCGAATTTGGTTCTCACGTGGCACCCGGCCAATCCCAGAAGCCTTGAAACTACTGCGAATCCAGCTGTTGCCCTGATTCCTCAAATCGCCACCAGTGACCAAATCACTGGCCATATCGATCTTAGGCATTCGCTTGGCCATCTCTGCAAGCAAGTTCCTTTGGGAGGCAACCCATCATGATATTACAGAAATAATGGGAATGTCCCAAAATGAGGCGCCCTTTTTGTACAAGAAAAATCACTGATTCTTAGTACAAAAAAGGCGCCGCATTCCCCATATGTTTTTTTCCCAGTCTAACACACGTAACCCAAAAACAAATTGCCAAAGGAAACACCTACTGATGAACATCCAAGATTCTTAACATTGGTGCTGAGCTTTGCAGGTTTCCCCATGGCTGCAAAGAAGGTGCACCAAATGTGCAAAATCTAAAAGTAAGCGCCCCAGCGGTGTGTCTGTGTGTGACACACCGACTACTGTTTACTTCAAAATGAAATCCCAGCCAAATAGCTTATGTGATTTCAAATGGCTATATTCTTGACCTGATCGCATACAACTAAGAGGTTATTACACCCAGCCATGCACTCCCCCCTTGTTGTCCTCTTGTTGACCCTGGCCAGGCTGCGGTGGCACCTGTTCGTGTGGCGCCTGCTGAAGCACCGATCACCAGGGATGGCCTATCAGATTATTATATTAAATTATCATATCCCATCATAACCTAGCATACTCCAACATGGATAGTTGATTCTGGCATGAAACCTTCAAAATGGTTGGAAAACATGTTTACAAATAACAGGTGCTTTATGATCACCCTGGCTAACAGGCGGTTTATGGTCATCTCTTAGGTTGCGCTGGTATATATATAGCATACATGGATCCTATGGAGATGGTTTTGGAATCTGAAGTTTCTGGGTTTGAGATGGTTTGAGGGATGTTTTAAATATACGGATTTACAGGAAAAAAAAGGTCAAGGTTCAGTTTCAGAAGGCATCTGAAGAATTCCAAAGGAGCGCAACTGATAACTGATAACTCTGAAATTACAGGGTTCAAACGCCGCATGTCTTCACCAGGACAATCAAAGACAGGGCATCTGATGTTCAGTGCAGTACTCCCTATACATGTCAAAACTCAAAACAACCTTCGCCTAAGAAGAACCTTTATCTAACCTGCAACGCAACCACTGCATTCTTCAGACCACCCCCTGTGACCGAGCCACTTGAGTTGAAAACACGACCCGACCGTCAACTTTTTCCGTTCACAAAGTTCGGCCCAGGAAATGACCTCACAGTCCTTCAAGCAGGGAATACCAGGGACTGCACAACTCGGTGATGTGTATCCGCTTGGAATATACCTATAGACGGAACATAACAAATCCCGACATTTTGGTGTTGGAAATTCCAATGAATTTAAATAAATAATGAAAATATTAAAATAATGGAAAACTATTTGAAGACAAAACACCGTTTTTTCCCTAAGCCACAAGGCCCACCTGCAAATGTCTGGCACCCGCTCCATTTGTCGCTTCGGGCACGGGGTGATTACCTTCCAGTACCGCAGAGCGGAAGAAAAACGATTCATGGAAAGGGCAAAGAGCAACAGAACACATCATAGATGTCTGTTGTAGCTCCCTAAGTAACGAGTATGTGAGTAAAACATGGTAAAACATGGTAAAACAATAATTAATAAACCAGCCCCCAAATCACCAATTTATAGGTGATACTACGAACATACAAAACCATTCCCAAATGGGTGGTTTATGGCATTGTTTTCCCAGCCGAGCCCGGCATCTCGAGGTGCGTGCGTCGTGTCCGAGGCCAGTGAACGTGCTCCGCGAAGCGAAGCGTAGCTCAGCCAAGGCAGAAACCAAGAGAAAAGCGAAGAGCAGCTGCATCATGCGCCGAATCGATGGGGTAACTATGGTAACTATCAGGTCACGGGTCCATGAGTCGCCTGGTTACGAAACCATCATTTAGGTATTTTGCCCATTGGAAATCAGACGTCAGGCAAAGGTGGCAAGTTTTCACCATCCTGAAAACTAACGCCGCTACAATTTTTTTCCTTGCAACTTTGCCAGTTGTTTTAAGAACTGTGCTGGGCTCGGCCATTTCAGCGAATTGCGCCAGCAAAACTGAAAGACACGCTGTCTCATCCGAGGGTTGACTTGGCTGCCATGTGGGCCATTGATCTTTCGGTGGTAGTTGCTTGGCAAAAGTCTTTCAATGCCTTCCACTTTCTGTCAATGACTTGTGTTCCAGCTTTCTTGGAAAGCACGCCGTGTTGCGTAAAGATGATGCGGCAGCCTGCAAGCGTAACATAAAAATAGGTAACAAAAAAAAAGTCCAAGCGAACGCAGCAAAAGGAACGTTATTACGCCCACCCCCCCCAACCCCACCCACCCCCCCCAGCAACAGCGTAGCACGACGTGTTGCGTAAAGATGATGCAGCAGCGTGCAAGCGTAGCATGACGTCTTGCGTGCAAGATGATGCGGCAGCGTGCAAGCGTAACATAACACTTGCGACCAAAAGCGTAGCACGACGTGTTGCGTAAAGATGATGCAGCAGCGCGCAAGCGTAACATAACACTTGCGACCAAAAGCGTAGCACGACGTGTTGCGTACAGATGATGCAGCAGCGTGCAAGCGTAGCATGACGTCTTGCGTGCAAGATGATGCGGCCGCCTGCAAGCGTAACATAAAAATAGGTAACAAAAAAAAAAGTCCAAGCGAACGCAGCAAAAGGAACGTTATTACGCCCCCCCCCCCCCCCCCAAAACAAAGAAAAAGGCCAGGCGACCTGTGGACCCGCCAGCAACTATCACGCATCAATGACCATATCATGACCGTTGAAAAGTTTGGGTGAAGGATGCCATCAAGCCCATCAAGCATCATCACTGTTTGGCGTGTGCTGCCAGCTGCCGTTGTGCTCACCGTATCTCACCGGACATGTCATGGATGGTGTCCATGCTCATCTGGCTGATTCAGCTGGTGTAGCTTTCTATCAAAACATTCAGGCCAGGGGGGTAAAGCATGCAGGCAAAGGTTGCGATTTACTAGCAATGGTTTGTACAGTTGTCCAGAAGTTCTTGAGCAGAGTGCTACTAAACTCTTAAAGTTTCAAAACTTTGAGCCGCGAGTGGCATCCACATCCACCTGTCAACCACAACAGCCATTGAAACATCGTTCTTTACATCCCTGCATGGTCATGGTCGGCCCTTGCGGCTTGCACAACTGGAGTGCAAGCCGGACTGAAAATGAATGGCTAATAGTACCTTCAATGGCTGCATTACTTCACTTCTATTCTGGGGATATAATGGGGATATGGTTACAACTCACCAACTATCATCAACTACTCTCCGGTATGGATGTGTCTGAAAAATGGTCGATATAGAGTCCGATATATAAAATATTAAGAGTCCGATATATAAAATAGTATGATTCAATATATTATGGCTGGTTACTTCACTAGAGAAATTGATGACAGTCACATTGTAATGAATTATAATGATTCATTGGATGGAAATGATGTCTCACATTTTTCAAACAAACCCATATGTGGTTCACTCTGCCATGCTCAACTCTGCCATGCCTCTTGACAAGCTTCAAACAACCTCGATCTTTGCATTTTGATGCATTTTGGACAATTAGATCGGGCTGGTTATTGCGTTGGTCCGGACCTGCATCGCTCCAGTATGCCATGGGTCTACATTGATGGCGCGGTATTTTTCACACTTGGGGACTTCGGGTCAATGAAATTAATTGAAATTCATTGATCAGAAGTTAGAAGGGAAAAGACACTTCTGTGACATCTTCTGACTGACTGTGCTTACTAATCTAAGCCATAAACCTAATCTAAGCCATGCGTTCCACATTGCACTGTTACTGGTGCACCATGTCTCAGCATGTCTCAGCATGCCTCAGCTTCGATCAAACAGCTGAGGGTCAGGGCGGCTGAACCACCAAGCATATCCAAGCATCCATGGACGCGTTGTGAATCAAAAGCCCACTCAGAATGCTTGGCGATTCGAAGTTATACCCTGGCATATATCAATCAAGTAATATCAAATACTACATCTGGTAATCCTCGCATGCTCATGTTTGGTTGAAATCTGTGAAGCCTTTCTGAATCAGGCCAAGATCATCCAGGGATTCCGCCCAATTTCTGCGTTGGCGCGTTGTGTTTCGTCCCCTTTGATCCCTGGTGTCAGAAACGGTCCATGGCATCTCGAAGTGCCAAGCTAAGTAAATCAAAGTACCAAGGGGCTGTGTCTGAAAATCTGGATCAACCCCATAAAATGATATGAAATGGTCATTTTTAGGGGAACAGAGTTTGAAAATGATGAGTTGGGGGTGCCCTATGTTCAGACCTTGTCCCCAAGTACTGTCTAGCATCAGGCCAAGCTCCTCAATGCCAGCCCCAGGGTCTCACAGAGATGCCAGCGCGGAATAACTGACGTGCGTAAAGCTAGCAAATCACATTTAAACCAAATTGACACGATGATTCAAAAGATTTCAAATTTGGGAGCCCTGTATTGGCGTGACAGGAAGGCCATCTAAGATCTGATCCAGGCTAAAATTTTGATCGACTCTAGGTTTTGTCCGAATTCATTCAATTTCATCTTTGCAATGCAGGCGTGCTTTCGATGACCACCCAACGGACTTTCAATCGGTATAACCATGTGTAACCTTTAAGGATTTGATTCAGCATTATTCTGCCGCAACAAACACCACTACATGATGCTATCCAGTACAATGAAGCAATGGAAAAACTAAACATACGAAGTCTTTGGAATGGATTGGTCACACTCGCCTGCTCCACTTGATCATTGATCATGTTGATCTTCGAATTAAACAATGGGTAATTAGCCAATGGGTACGGCCTGCGTACATCCATGCATACCGTCACAAGCTCAAGCAATGCCCTCATATGCCCTGACTGATATTGACTCAGTTTCGCTTTTCAGCAAACGTCCTGATAGCAGCAATAAATTCAAAGGTCTCAGAATGGTTCGTAGGATGATAGCCGGGACAGGCTTGACAACCAGACTGAGCTGAGGCTTCACTTTTCTTTAAAACACATCTTTGATAAACACCATAAATCGGGCATTTCAACAGCGACAAACAGGATAAGTATATAATATCATATAATATATAATATATATATATATATATATCAATTATAGTCCATTCATGCCCATTCTATCCCACCTTTATCAACGTAGGAAAAAACATGCCACGCTTTTTAGCAGCGGTGATGTCCTCCCAGGATCTCCATCCCTTTCGATGCACGCGTGGCATCTTGCCGTGGGGAGCCTATCCACGAGATCGATGTGATGAGTTTCATCCGATTTTTTACATTCCACTGATGTGCTAAATAACTAACATAACTATGGAAAGATCCACCATTTTTATTGGGTAAATCCACTATAAATGGCTAAATATTGCGAAAATTGCCAGTCGATTCAGTTTTTTTCTCGTCATCTTCTGTCGAAATCTTGCCAACTCTGCTTGTTCATATGTGGGGCAGCACTGCATTCAACCCACGCCAGCCCTTTGCTAGCATGAACTCCGCTGTCAAATGGATCTGGTATCTCGCTGTCATGCAGAAGGTCACGCCTCACTATCGACTGCGTTGTGCTGCCGCAATGGGGGCCTTGCATCGCTTGCCTCCAACCATGGACGCAGGACCAAAGCGCGGTCGATGACTTGAAATCACACATTTTTGCCATGGTTTAGTGACTGATATCAAATATTCAAACCATACCAGTACATATTAATATGTATGAGATTGTATGAGTACATATGTATGAATATATGTGCTTCTGCCAGGTGTCAATCAAGAAATTTAAAACGTAATTCAGCCCCCTCTTTTTGGTGCTCCTATCAAAAGCATCATCGGGGAGGCCTCGGCGTGTGAATTCTCCAGCTGACTGGGTAGCTGGCTGGAGTCCATAAAAGCAGCCTCCAAGGGATGTATTGGATGAACATGGTCCTAACTTAGGTAGTATAGATCTGGCAACTGTGGAGTCTTGTTCACAAGATTTTCTTAACCAAAAGAAGCAATTTGACATGGCAACAACATCACGTCCACCATAATCCGATGCACAACAAATCAAACAACAAACATGATATTCCGATATTCCCAGTTTTTCTCTTGCACTTTTACACGTTCTTTATGTTCAAACTGGGCGTGACTTACAGACTTACAGCATCTTACAGCCCCATCCCTTGACCACTTGACCACTGCCAAGCTGCCATCTGAATCAAATGATCTGAGGGGTAGCCACCTCGACGGGGCTGCCACTTCTCCGAAAATCCAGGGGTTTCACCAATGGTAAAAAAACAATTCTTTCCCATAGAATAGCCCTTGAAAATACATAGTGTTTTCTTCGAAAAAACGCTAATACATGCTAATAAAAATCATCCCAAATTTCAGACACTCTCAAATTTCATCTTCCACTGAATATCATTCTGAAGATCCCAATGATATTCCCTGATATTCCCAATCTTATATCCCATTCTTTTTCATGGACACGATGATCAACATTCAGAACCCACCACCAGCTGTCTCGTCCAAGCAGCTCTGCAGCAGCTCAAGAAAGGTCGACCTCGTCGATGGCTGTGGTTTGAAAAACTGGACTGTACCCGGAAAGTATAAAGGACATTTATGGAACTATGGAACATTGATGATGACAATAGGGTGTAAATTACGTACACATCAAATTGCAATTCTATATATATAATACACAAATAGGATCAAATAGGGACAATTTTGGTAGAATTGATGATGAAACAAGTGGATGGAATGCATTGTGGATCTCACAATTTTCAGACAAACCTTTATGGAAACCAACGTTCGGACTCACCATTAAATTCTGGGCATCAACAATGCCAGCTTCCATGTATGATTCTACGACTGTCATTGAAGCATGTTGAAGGCATCAACGTGTCAGTTCCTGTTGTTTACCCTCTTGTAAACTAACATAACTAAGTATGGAAAATCACAATCTTTAAAAGGTAAATCAACTATTTCTATGACAATGTTTAATAGCAAATTGTAACAAATTTCAGAGGGTATCATCCACAAACCGACGAAGACCACTGTCACTTGGCTTCGAGACTTGCCATGACACTCCATTGGAAGGCCATTCAACACCGCGATCCTGAGTCACGCACTTCATGGCTGCAGAGATTTTTCGAAAGACAGTCTCAATGAAGCGTTCGTGTCCAATGTAAATAATATAACACATCTGGAGCCCATACAGGAGACAAAAACCCAGAATCCCACTATTGATTGATGTGAAATATGGATTGCCAAAAATTGCCCAACAATCATATCCAAAACACACCCTCTGGTAAGCATACGAAAAGCTATTGAACATGGCGACTGAAATAGTTGATTTACCCCTTATAAATGGTGATTTTCCATCGTTGAGGGTATCCCCCAGCCATCAGCAATTCATCTGGGCACGGATGAAGACCTTCATCATGTAGAATCAGATCAGTGGCTTGGCCCGCAGTGAACCTGTGGTTTTTTTTGGAGGGGTCTCTTTGGGGGGATCAGAAATGACATGGACATGACACCATATTCAACCCCCACCGAACAGTCGCAATATGTCAGAATCTATATGGTTAAGATTCTTTAATCATGGCATTAATTGAAGTTAGGATACTTAACTCAAAAGGGGGGACAGTCGCTCGACAGCATCCCTCGTGATTTGCCCGGCGGCCTGGCTGACGAGGTCCACGGGTCATATCCCAGAACGCTCTTCGTGGAGCTGAACCTCAACCCATTGCGCGATGATCAGGATGTGATTGCTTGTCGAAGCTGTTTGTGTACTTATTTTAATATATATATATATATTTTTTATAATGGTTTCCCGAATTTTTTCTGGACATCCACAATATTCCACAATCAACCATGCCAACCCAGAATTCACCGGCTATTTTTCCATGTTTTTTCAAAACAGACCCCGTGTAGCATTCCCGGAAGCTCTGCTTTGGACCCCAAACCACGTCTGCTTGGAAGCCTCATCACCGCTGTGGGTGACCTGGTGGAGCTTCTCCATGGTATGTGATGCGTATAGTACCTACTGTATGAATACTTTTGAGTTATGATAGTTTGTAGATAACTTGAAGATTTGAAGAGTCTAAAGCTTAGCTGACCTATAAAATCTATAAGGGATTAGTTGACTCATGTTGACTCCTGAAATTCCTCACAGTTGGCATTTCTGAAATGTTGACGCCTTCTGCAAATGCTGGTCTTTGGCAAGTTCTGCCAGCGCAGCCTCGCCACAAACGCTGAGCACTGCCATGGTCAGTGGGTCTGTCTAAGAATTGGATAACTCCCAGAAATTTCAGGCTGTTTATGATTGTTCTCCGTTCAAAGTGCAACTTTTGAGGGTATATATATATATATTATTTATATATATATATTTATATTTATTATATAATATTATATATATATTATTTATATATATATATATATATTATATAGGTCACTTTCAGATAAACCCCACATGTCTGTTGCGGACCAGGTTACATCTGAATCCATCCCAAAGTCTGCGCACCAAATCGGCCTGCGATTTGAGAACAACAACCGCCGAATCACAGGTGAAAAACCAGGTGTTATCGGCAAGAGTGGGGGGTAAAACACGCTGATAATTGAAAACGGTATGACATTTGGAATGCATGTAAAATGCATGTAATATAGTTAATGTTAGCACCTGATTAGTAGCATGGTACTCTATTGTGGCAAAAAGTTTCCTCCTTATTCAGTTCCATGCTGTTTGGGGGGGGGCCTCTATTGTGGCAAATGTTTTTCCAGATTTTTTTTTGAAAAAAAATGTTCCTAATTAATTAATTATTTTTTTAATCTATTTTTAAATTAGTTACTTAAAAATGTTTTTCTGTTTTTTCATGTTTTTTTATATTAAAGCTTTAAAATGCAAGGTTTTCCAAATAATTAGATGCCTTATTAAACCCTTTTTAAAAAACAGCATCCAGACAATTTTTCAAGGTGGTACCCCATGAGTGGCTGAGTTACTCAATAATATGAATGTTTGGATGGTACTCTATTGTGCCCAACAACTTTTGGGGTTGAAAAAAATCCAACACCATTTCTCCACCTTTCTTTGAGTAAAGCTGGTCCATTTACTTTAGCAATATTTGTGATAAAGCTTTAAAATGCAAGGTTTTCCAAATAATTAGATGCCTTATTAAACCCTTATTAAAAAACATCATCCAGACAATTTTTCAAGGTGGTACCCCATGAGTGGCTGAGTTACTCAATAATATGAATGTTTGGATGGTACTCTATTGTGCCCAACAACTTTTGGGGTTGAAAAAAAACAAAAACCCTTTCTCCACCTTTCTTTGAGTAAAGCTGGTCCATTTACTTTAGGAAACCATATTTGTGATAAAGCTTCAAAACGCAAGGTTTTCCAAATAATTAGATGCCTTATTAAACCCTTATTAAAAAACAGCATCCAGACAATTTTTCAAGGTGGTACCCCATGAGTGGCTGAGTTACTCAATAATATGAATGTTTGGATGGTACTCTATTGTGCCCAACAACTTTTGGGGTTGAAAAAAAAAACAAAAACCCTTTCTCCACCTTTCTTTGAGTAAAGCTGGTCCATTTACTTTAGAAAACCACAATTGTATTAAAGCTTTAAAATACAAGGTTTTCCAAATAATTAGATGCCTTATTAAACCCTTATCAAAAAACAGCACCCAAACAATTTTTCAAGGTGGTACCACATGAGTGGCTGAGTTACTCAATAATATGAATGCTTGGATGGTACTCTATTGTGCCCAACAACTTTTGGGGTTGAAAAAAAAAACAAAAACCCTTTCTCCACCTTTCTTTGAGTAAAGCTGGTCCATTTACTTTAGGAAACCATATTTGTATTAAAGCTTTAAAATGCAAGGTTTTCCAAATAATTAGATGCCTTATTAAACCCTTATTAAAAAAACAGCTTCCAGACAATTTTTCAAGGTGGTACCCCATGAGTGGCTCAGTTACTCAATAATATGAATGTTTGGATGGTACTCTATTGTGCCAAGCAACTTTTGGGGTTGAAAAAAAATAAAAACCCTTTCTCCACCTTTCTTTGAGTAAAGCTGGTCCATTTACTTTAGGAAACCATATTTGTATTAAAGCTTTAAAATGCAAGGTTTTCCAAATAATTAGATGCCTTATTAAGCCCTTATTAAAAAACAGCATCCAAACAATTTTTCAAGGTGGTACCCCATGAGTGGCTGAGTTACTCAATAATATGAATGTTTGGATGGTACTCTATTGTGCCCAACAACTTTTGGGGTTGAAAAAAAAACAAAAACCCTTTCTCCACCTTTCTTTGAGTAAAGTTGGTCCATTTACTTTAGGAAACCATATTTGTATTAAAGCTTTAAAATGCAAGGTTTTCCAAATAATTAGATGCCTTATTAAACCCTTATTAAAAACCAGCATCCAGACAATTTTTCAAGGTGGTACCCCATGAGTGGCTGAGTTACTCAATAATATGAATGTTTGGATGGTACTCTATTGTGCCCAACAACTTATGGGATTGAAAGTAAATTGAAATCAATTGAAAATAAATTGAAATCAATTGAAAATAAATTGAAATCATTTGAAAGTAAATTGAAAGTAAATTGAAATCAATTGAAAGTAAATTGCAAGTAAATTGAAATCAATTAAAAGTAAATTGAAATCAATTAACAGTAAATTGAAATCAATTGAAAGTAAATTGAAAGTAAATTGAAATCAATTTCAAGTAGACTGAAATCAATTGAAAATAAATTGAAATCAATTGAAACTAAATTGATTTCAATTGAAAGTAATTAATTAATTAATTAAATTGAAATCAATTGAAAGTAAATTGATTTCAATTGAAAGTAAATTGAAATCAATTCAAAAAAATGTTGAGGGGGGGGGGTGCGCAAAAAAATGGTCAGTTATTGAGTAGACTAAAATTGTTTGGGGGGGGGCCCTCACACTAATCAGTCGATAACATTATACAATTATATGATTATATATCAACATATTCTGAGTCCTGTGTAGCCCTAAAACTGTAAACACATAATGATATTAATTGTGAGAGCTAATCTGAAGTACAAGGATAAGACATGTTTGCATCATATCATCAACATCTCACCATATCACAGCATTCAACAGAAGTTAGAAGCTCTACAATTTAACAAAGGCCTCAGCGATCTCTTGCCACAGTGGTGCAGCAACGCACGTTGCGCTGGAATCAGCCTGCAATGCTGGTCGTAGCTGGTCGACTAAAAAGTGAGGCTCCGAAATCCTTGCCGTTCCTTGACATTCCTGGTCGAACGGATGCAAAAATGGTGCTTAGTTACCCATAGGATCCATGGTGCTGCTATATATGGTAACATTTACCATCAATATACCCCAAATGTTAGCATATATACCATACATGGATCCTATGGGTTATAACATCAGCCAATATCAACCACAGTGCTGACTTCGCCCTTCGTTTCGACCATTCTAATGGATGACCCTGGGCTTCTTCAGGCTCAGGCTGCGTTATCAATTCTTCATTGCTGAAGTTTTTGCCTGGCGCCGATCAGTGCTGGTCCAGCTCCATCGCAAGCTCTTGGTCGGTGAAGACATCTTGGATCTTCATCACTCAAATATGGTTAAAAAGAAAGGTGAACATGAACAAAATCTGAATCACAATGTGGTAAATGATGGTGAATGTATCATTTATGTCATCAAATGTGCTACTTGAGTTACCATTGAAAGTTCTGAAAAGAATCAGTTTAACATGTCTTATTGTCATATCAGTTTTCCTCCGATCCCATCGCCGCGCAACGGTAACGGGAACGGCGCATAACGGCGCACCCCATTCTTCCGCGTAGACGTTGCCCGCCCTGCTGCAGCAGACCAAGACGTCAGGGCCCTGCAGCTTCGAGGTGAGCCTGAAACAGGGAAAATCGCTGGGAAAATGACAGGGAAAATGATGGGGAAATGATGGTTTAGATTGGTTTATTGGTTTAGAATCTAGAACATCATCATTTTTTTTCCATGATGTTCATAGTTCTTTCAATGACCAGTGGGAAAAACACATCCATCCTTGAGGACAGCTCCATTCTACATTCTAATGGGCAAAATGCTCTGAGAAGTGGACTCCACACAAAGTGCACCTTTGCCAGCATCCCAGTAGCGCTCCATCTGACCAAATGAGAATGGTCAGTGGGTGGTTTCAAGCCATGTGAAAATTTTTACCATAATGTCATAGTGGTTGGTGATGAAATATCCCATGATGCTTTGTTTTTTATTCGGTGAACAATGGTTAACAAACCATCATGGGATATTTCATTGTTAACCATTAATGATGCCATGAATGCCATAATTAATGGGATATTTCATTGTTACCATGGGTAAATGCCACAATGGTAAATTTCCATGAATGCCATAATATATCATTGCTGTAACTTGGGGGACATTTCAGGATCATCAGGATCATGGGCCTGCCATCGAGTCCGCTTCCAAAAGACCTTGGCTCGGACTCCGCTTGTGGACTTGGCCCAAAAAAATGCCTGGAAAAAACCCAAATTGATGGCGATGTGAATGTTTTTTTTGATAGACCATGGTATGTACTAAAAAATATCAGATACGAACAACTAACAATAATTATACTCATAGGTTTCAAGAATAACTGCCAATGGGATCTTTTTAAGTTTAAAAAATAACATAATGATATAATAATTAATGACAATTGATGGATGCCCCATGCGTTTCAGACCCAAATCAATGTACCCGGCATTTTCCCTGGCCTTCAGCAGTGCAACTGCCATCAGAGTCTGCTGATTGCTGATTTCAGGGAGTCATACATTGTCTATAGCCACGTACCAGAACGCCATTACCCTTAGAACACAACAATATTGTGAATAATATAACGTACCATAGTCATTGCAATGTATAATTATATATAATATATATATATATGTATAATATGTATAATATATATATAAACTGTATGCAGTATACATACACAATTATACACATAACATGTATATATATCAGGGTTCAGAACACAACTTGATCTGATTCGGAAAATAATTCAAAATATGCACTACAACTACAAAAACCAATGCATCTGAAGTCAGAAAAAAAAACTGAAAATCGGATTTGCTAACATGATTTGTCCCAATGACATCTTGTAGTTGGGTCTATGCCATCCAAAGTTCCGACCAACATAATTTCAGAAGACATTTTGTAGTTGTCAATGATTGAACTTAATTGGATCAAGTGTTGACCCCGTGCAGTTTGTTACATAGCATTCTGTAGTTTCATGATCTGTTTTTGTCCATGTACATGTCACGCACTGTTTATGTTGGATGCTTCAACTATTCAACCTGTACAACTACAAAATGCAAATGATATTTTATGTTGGATGCTTCAACTAACTCAACATATACAACTACAAAATACAAATAAGGATTTGAAAGGAATCAACTACAAAATGAATGCAAATACAAAAAGGTGGTCCCAACTCCACTTTCTTGTACAAAACGACCCCTGGCTGGCAATCTGTACTGTAGCCCAAGTCCTCCCCTTTACGTAGCTGAAATTTGAAGGAAGATGTATTATAATTATAACCATCCACAATTAACAGTTTGCAACAGTTAGGCTGCTCCACTGTTTTGCAGAGATTGGATGACCTGCCGACAGTGCTGCAAAATACGTTCGCACTTTCGGTCAAGACACTGCATTGCCGCAGTGAATCTGTGCACTACCAGGCTGCTTCAGCGTGGGCATGAAAACAACACCTCCAGAGTCAAGTCTCTGCAATGTCGCTCATCAGCTGGCACATGCACTGCAAAGGATTCCAAAACTGTCATCAACGTCCCCTTTGGATTGCCGAATGTCAGCATGCGACCGTAATTCTTCTTTGCCAACTCACGGTAGAGGGACGCCAAGTGATTCCTGAAGCGCCATCATATTGCAACTGGATTCACAAAAAAAAAAAACAGAAAGTAGAGCTTCTAAGGCATGAGCACCGTAGGATCATTGTAACTGTAGGAGCCTCACGGTTTCAAGGGTGTCATTCAGGAACAGAGCTCACTCGCATGTGAGCGTCACAAAACAGTTCACGGTGCACCGTTCCATCCACATCCATCCACTATCATCCACTCAATGATCACCTTCCCAGTTAACATCAGTTAACTGATCACTTTCCCAGTATTTTCCCAGCTAACATTAACATCAGTTAATTAATATTCTGGTTGGTGGTTTCAACCCCTCTCAAAAATATGAAAGTCAGTTGGGAATATTATGTCGAATATATGGAAAAATCATATAAATGTTCCAAACCCCCAACCAGATATTGGTTGAAATTGCATGAAATTATTTCAGGGAGGGCTACACGACAGGTCATGGCTTTTCCCTTGAGCCCCTCACTGAACCACCGCGTGTTGGTCTCACTGCACCGTGCGCGTTCGCCCACGCTGTGAATGCCTTGCACCTCGGGATATCGCTGTTAAACTGGCATTCGACAGCTTCGATGGACTAGTATCATCTACCCATCTACCCTCTGGTAAACATACCAAAAACTATGGAAAATCACCATTTTTCATGGGCATTTTCAATAGCTATGTAACAAATTACCAGAGGGTAGTATCATCTAGTTGCCCAGGGTGGACTAGTCCCGTAAAATGACGTAGAATCCCTCAAACATTGCCCCATGGAGAACCACTGGGCAGCTTGCGCAAATGATGTCTGCTGCGTGCCAAAGCCTGTGCTCAGCGATCTGAGAAAGTCACGTCACCTTTTCTCAATGGGAATTCCAGGATCCTAAAATGGAGGTACTGAGGTACTGTACCATATAAGGCCATATTTTGTGGGGATATTCCCTTACATAGGTATCTCCAGTTTATGTTCCTGAAATGGCCATTGATTTTCCCGCCCATGCCAGAATGTTGGATGCAAGAGACAACCCAATTCAAATTTATCAAAATTCAGCCTCTTCTTTCAGGAACAAGCTGTTTAAATGTAAACAAGCCAGGGGAACAGCTGACGCTTGATCTTCTGCAAACGAGTCTCCCAAAAGAGCGCCTCTTTCGAAGCAGCTGAATTTAAGTGAATCTGTGCTAGGAAGGCACGCCAGGCACATCTACAACAGATCATAATGCATACATGACGAACATGTCTTGCAACACTTTGATCCTAGATTCTGTATACAATATGATGGTATATAATGATATGTAACATTAATACACATTGATAGTCATTGGGTCATTGGGGAGCATCATGTCAGCATATCCCAACATCTATGGGTGAACACGATAATATTTGAAAGCCGGCACATATTCCAAAGTTGTAAAATGGCGAGTCCCAATTGTATCCAATACATACATGGCCAAATATGTTTTCTCGAGACCAGATCTTGTAGATTGAACTATACATATCCCAATAATACATAACTCAATAATTTCCTATATATGTATATATGCTATCGTGTATCTCATATAGCCCATTGTGATAATATCCCATTCTAGTCACCCCACAAAAAAAGAAGAGTGAAATCCGAACCTAAAAGAGTGATGACATTTGCTTTTCCATCTGTGGGGGAATTAGTATATAATATACTATATAATACTATATATATATATATTATATATAATATATATATATATATTCATTCCCAAAGAGTCCACGTCGTGGTTTAACCATGTCCTATGTAAGCGTCGGGGTCTAACCACATTAGCATGTTCAGTTGCGAACTCAATATGCCGCGCTTTCATTCTGGCTCCTCTAGCTTGGTCGTATTGACCATTATCAAAGTTTCACCAAACAACAACAGCTTTTGCTAACCTATATACCTAGACACCACACTTTTTTGCTGCATCATCTTCGCTGCAATGTGGCTGGGCACTCAACTTTCAGCTGTTTGATGTTTTCTTCATTAATATAGTTAGTTCATCTAACTAGTATGCGAGGTGCAGGATGCTCCTATAGATGCACAAAACGCTGCGTAAACGCCCCTTGCTCATCTACGTGTTGTGTGATGTGACCATGTGCGTGCATGGACCTGTGAACACGCGTGGCTTGAGGCCGGCTGCAAAGTCAGCAAGACGTTCAACATGTGAGCGAACCTTCAGGTGCACACCACCATGCCTGCTGTTTTCTCTAGACATGCTGAGTTGAAAGGGCATCGTCAATGTGCTGAGTTGAAATTCGCATCTTAGGGTTTTTCCATATCAAGCTGCGTGCAGCATGCAGTAGGGGCTTAGCTTGCGCTCTTTCTGCGGCTGGCCATGCCGACGACCAAACCGAAGGAAGAGGTCGTCAACTCTTTAAAGGCCAGGTTGATTAATGTGCTTGTGCATGTGCGTGTGTGCACATATGCGCGCCCCATGTGGCAGGAGTTCTTCAATGACATGATGCGCAAGGACGATGGCTGCTACAGGGCAAAAAGGCCTTAATATCTATTTACCCTACTACTTCACGATTCCCTTTCACACGCCTTTGCCCGAAAAGAAAAATCCAGCATGCAGGTTCAAAGAGCTGGCAAAGCTGAAAGGCATCCCTGAAGATGACGTTTGCGCTGCCCTCTGGATGAAGAAGGTGGGCCGCTAGCCAGCTCATTTTCCATGCGCATTTCAAGTCAAGCATGGTGCTGTGAAACCAGGCTCCATGCGACTTTGCCTTCTTAGATATCTTGGGTGGCAAGAACATCGACTCAAGTAAGGTTCGGGCACATTCATGTATGCTAAAAATATGTTGAAGTTAAATAGCAAACTAGTGCGCATCAATGTTCGTTCGCAGGTGGTGCAGGAGACCAACTTTCGCTTTCTGAAGGCTTTTCTGGAAAAGTTTTCGGTCCTCTTTCCGACGGCAAAAGAACTTGAGGTAATACTGGCCATGTTTGTGCAACTGGAAAAGTTTTGGCTTTTTGTCATGCCACCCCAGCCTGAAAGCCTACCATTATTAACATGCCAGATGGCGCTTTGCAGCACAGCTGTGGACCATGTCTTGGTTAACAGTATGGATGCAAAAAGCGACATGGTGAAGGCTTGGCCACAAAACATGCACGCATGTTGGTGAAACGAATATCGCCTCTCTTGCATCTTCCTTCAGCCTGCGCAGGATTGGGCTACCACAGAAGCAGGGGTTATCCGTGCTCATGCAAGCTACGTCATCACCAGAGCTGGGAGAACATCGAAGGG